AACTCTGTAATTAATAATTCTTTTCTGATGTGGAAGATCAGTCAAAGCTGCAACCACAGAGCATACTAAGAATTATAATTACCAGATCACCCGAGCTCTGCACCTTAGCTCTGATACCACTTGTTAGGCCCCCACTCCAAACAAATCGAAAGAAAAGGAAAAAAAAAGGAGCACACAATTTTTAACTTGGTTCGGCACCTCAAGACCTACTCCACGACCCCCTCTGGGATAAAATCTCACTAGTAATTTTTGCACGGAAAAATTACAAACCCTCTTCAATATTTGACACTCACAACCTAAAATCTAATACACAATTATATAGATTGAAGGATTGTGTTGTGTGATGGAAGCCTATATCTCCTCTTTATTTATAGGCTCCAATCCCTCCTCAATTTTCCTATCTCACCGATGTGGGACTTTGAAGTAACACTCAACAAAAAAAAAGTAGGAAATTGAAAAAAATCAAAGAGTTGGATGTAATATTTGGTCGTGGGACAATATTTTTTGAGAAAATTATTTTTAGGAGAAAACAATTTCTACGAAAAATCATTCCCACGGTTGACCCCGAACTTATCGTGCGAAGAAGCATGCAGTGAAAACATGAAGGGCTACCAACTCCTTAGCCATGCCATCAAGTTCGTGTTTTGTGGTTAGAAAAATAAACATTAAATTACTTCTAACTATTTTCTGTTTCTTCCAACAACGATTATAAAAAGTATTTATATATGATGCATATGCAATAATATTATATATCTAAAACTTATAAATACCACCTTAAAAAATGCACAAGGATGAATTTTTTTTGTTCAAAATTAGAATTTTGGCTAAACTCCACCATTGGTCCTTCAACTTTATCAATTGTGCACGATTGGTCCTTCAAATTTTAAAAGTCTATAAATAGTCCTTCAACTTTATGAGTTATGCACGATTGGTCTTTCAAGTTTTAAAAGTGCATAAATAGTCCTTCAAGTACATGTCAGCCCTCCAGATGAGGTTCTTTTGACAGTAAATGTTAAAAGCTAAATGAAATACTAGCTCCATATAATACAGAGTAATCGTACCTAATGGAATTTACTCGTATTATATGAAACTAGTATTTCATTTAATTTTTAGTATTTATGGTCAAAAGGACTTCATATAGACGGCTGACATGTACCTGAAGGACTACTTGTGGACTTTTAAAACTTGAAGGACCAATGATGCAGAGCTCATAAAGTTGAAGGACTATTTAAGGACTTTTGAAACTTGAAGGACCAATCGTGCATAACTGATAAAGTTGAAGAACCAATAGTGGATTTTAGCCTAGAGTTCTTTTAAATATTTATTTGACTGGTTATTTAATTGAGTAACTTTTTTATAATTTAATTCTTCTAACATTTTCAAAATCATTCTAATTCCTTCCTAATTCTTACAACTCTTTTCAGTTTCTTAGCACATTGAACTCTGAATTGAAGTTCCAATTAAAAAAAACAGGGCCCAAGTTGCTAAGACAACATTCAATGCAAACTAGATTCCGCACCTTCTAAAAAATTGATATTGGCATAGGGCCTGTTTGGGAAAAGTGTTAGAGGTTAGCGTTAGCGTTTTGGATAAAAATTTAACGGTGCAGATTACTTTGAAAACGCTAATTCTAAACGCTGCCCGTAGATAGCTTTTTCAAAACGCTAACGCTAATAGCTAACGCTATTCCCAAACAGGCCCATAATTTTTTGGATAAAGGTACTTGTATCCCTTGGGGTGTGCACAATTTGGTAAACCGACCGAACCGAAACCGAAAAATTTGGTACATACCGAAAATGAACTAAATAATTCGGTTCGGTATTCAGTTCTCATATCTTGAAAAAATCGGTTTTCGATTCGGTACAAAATTTGGAACCGGTATTTCGGTAAAAACCGAATACCGAAATTATCTAATACTTAGGTATAATTTACCCATTGCTACTCAATTCAATACCCAATATCTATCCCAATATTGGAATAATGAATATCCACCCCACTAATTTTAAGTCATATTAACTAAATTTGGAGTTATTTAAGATTGGAAATCATGAAAACATCAAATTAGTAATACTGGTAAATGTTTTTATATTTCGGAATGGAAAATTGTGTTATTTGTATCAACTATTTTGTTTAATTTATGTAATGGTTCTAATTGTGCTGCATTATTTTAATTTTGGAGTGTGTAATGAACTTATCTATAATGGATTATGCTTTGTTATTTTTCAATTTGGAGAATGAAATGGATTTTTTAAAGTTCAAATTTTGGTTTATGTTCGGTTTTTGGTAAACCCGATTACCAAACCGATTTAATTTGGTTTTTACCGAACCGAACCATTTGATTTTGGTTCGGTATTTGGTACAAAAAATAAATTACCGAAATTTCGGTTTACCGAATTTTCGGTTTGATTCGGTTCGGTTTTACCGAATGAACACCCTTATGTATCCCAACCTTTTGTACCTCAATTTGTACCCCGCAGTTTTGCACAAACATTTTGTGTTGGTGTAAAACTAATTTTTGTTAACGCACCAACACTTTGTTTCAATGTAAATTTTTGTTAACGCACCAACATTTGTATTGATGTAAACCATCAAAATGTTTGTGTATAAGTTCGGTGTACAAATGGAATATAATTTTTTGTGTAAATGTAGCATGTCCTGATTTTTTTAACATACCATGCTCTTCGACATTGTCCTGCATGGCTGCATGTGTTTGATAAAATTGTTAGTTACTCCCCCGTCCCGTTTTAAATCATCCGTTTTGATTTTTGGGCATATTTAGAGAAAATTAAAAATAGAGTTGATTTTTCGAAATTGTCAATACTTTTTATGAGGGATGATGATGAATGAGAATATAATGTGGAAAAGATTGACTTATTTTAGAGGTAGTTTAAGTGTTTTATTTTTTAAAGTTTACAAAAATAACTAACAGACAACTTATTTTGGGACGGAGAAAAAAAACAAACATGCAATTTAAAATGGGACGGGGGTAGTATTTTTTATAATGCATGACAAATTTTTTTAAACAAATTCAATTTAGTTTAACACTGATATACGATTAAAAAAATCCAAATATGTATTTTAAATTTACATGAAAAATTCTATCAATCAAAATATGATAGGACTATTTTATTTTATAAAAAAAGTAACCAAAATAGGAAAAATAATTAAAATTGATCATGTAAATAATACTCCGTAATTATATAACTTAAATTAGGATTGATAGAGTAACATCTTCATATGGTGGGCGTTTAATTTAGTCAGAATCACTTATAAGTTATTTTTAACACACCTGGATCGGGGAAGTGGTTCCTACGCATGGTCCTGCCATTTTGGAGAACTTAAGATACTCTTTTAATAGAGTTTATAGTTCTTACAAAAATGTTAGGGCTACACCAAATATTGTACCCCTTCATCTTCACCACCCAAATGCAAGAGAGAAAAAAAACAAAGAAATGAAAAAAGAAATCAATGGTTAGGAACAATGATGTGCAAATGGGGTACACCATTTGGTGTACCCTAGCATTCCTCTAGTCCCCCCTACACCAATTTGCTCCGTTCATTTTTTGGTGAGACTAAAGTAAGAGTAAAATATTGAAAATAGAAGACTAAAGTAAGAGTAAAAATAAAAAACATACCAAAATATGAGTTATATGTTTTTATTCCCAAAATATGAGTTAAAATAAATTTACAGTGTCTATCATGATCATATACATATAAAAAAGTATTATAAAATGTTTATATATAGTGTTACATTAACAGAGTGCAAATTCTTATTTAAGAGTTAAAAAATATATTGCTCCTATTTTAAAATTTTCTTTATATTTTACTTTTATTTATGATGATTTCTTTTTGTCCATCAATCATCTTTAAGTATCCCAATTAAAGTAAGTGTTTTAAACTCATGATCTGGGTCCATTCCGGTTAATTACAGGGTCAATCATGATTGTTCTCTAATTGGGCCCTCTCTATTACACTTGCTTGCAAGTTTGAGTGTTAAAACCGCATACGGGTTGGGCCCAACTCATTCTAAGCCCATTAAAATCACCCCCGTCCAAAAGCTGTTGGTAAGCCCTAATTTGATAAATTTCACTATATAAGAACCGGGCCGCCGCTCATCAAACCCTAGAGCGTATTCAGAGCCGCCTGCCATATCACGACTGCCGGAAAAATGTCGATCTCCGAAATTGCCTGCAGCTACGCCGCCTTGATTCTGCACGACGACGGAATCGCCGTCACGGCGGAGAAGATCGCAACCCTTGTGAAGTCCGCCAATGTCAACGTGGAGTCTTACTGGCCGAGCCTCTTCGCCAAGCTCTGCGAGAAGAAGAACATCGAGGATCTCATCATGAACGTCGGCGCGGGCGGCGGCGGCGGTGCTGTTGCTGTGGCTGCTCCCGCATCCAGCGGTGGTGCCGCGGCGGCTCCTGCGGCTCCTGCGGCAGAGGAAAAGAAGGAGGAGCCTAAGGAAGAGAGTGATGATGAAATGGGATTCAGCTTATTCGAAGATTGATTTGGAGGTCCACTTGTATTCTCCTTCCAAGGTTTCTATGTGTTTTTTTGCTTCAGATGTCAGTTTTTTACCATAGTTTTGATGACTCTATGCCTGATCTATTCTGTTCTATGTTACTTTATGCTTTTTTGTTGGATGGTAACTTTGAATTTAGATTATCTTGGTGCAAAAACAAATGAAGTTTAGATTTCTTCATATTTCTTCTCAATTAGATCCCTTTGGTTAAGGGTTCTTTGATATTCTGCGAATGAAATACTCCCAAATTTGAGTCCCGAATCGAAAGAATTGATGGAATTGAAAGATTTCTTATACTTTCTTTTGTTTATAGAATTGTTTTCTCTTGATTTTTATCTATTTGTAGGATGATTTGATGCCCAATGCTTGAGTAACTAACTGTTTTTATTTTACTCTTCTGTATACATCTTGTCATTGGAGTTGCTGTAAGAGTATAGTGGCTAAAATCGGTGAAGATTAATTTTTTTTATCAATAATGAAATTTAGATATTTAAAATAATTTTGGACCTTAATGGACTTTAATATGTTTTGAGATAATCATTTTCTTAGGTGTAGAGATAGTTATTTTCTGATTACCTTCCCAAAATAATATTCAATAATTTTGTGTTTTTTAAATTAGTTTTCAAAATAAATTGATTATTAAGATGGTGTTCATTAATTGAAAACAATGTCTAGTTTGGTCTCCAAAATGGCATTAAAATTTATACCAATTTTCTAAATTGATCACCTATAATTGTATGTTTTTCAAACTAGTTTATTTTCAATGTAAAAACTCATTTAATATAAAAAAAACCAAAACATGATTATTTCCTTTTAATTGATTCTGAAAGATTATTTTTTTATGAGTTTTATTTAAAAAAACTGACTAATTTGAAAAACATTTGATTCGACATGATTGATTTAGAAAAATTTAGAAAATAGGTATCAGTTGTTTTGATGCCGTTTGAACTTTTGCTTAGTTTTTACACTATTTGTTTTTTGAACTTTTGATTAGTTTTTAAATATGTATGTTTTATTTTTTATTTTTATACCAATATTTAAATAAAATAGATTTAAAATTTGAAATTTTTTTTGTTTTGTTCAACGGGAAGAAAGATATAGGACGGAGAGAGTATCATTTTGATAATTTACCTTTATTTTCTTAAAAAAAAGTAAATGTGAAAGGTCAATAGTGTGATTGGTAACACAAAGATTTTGGATGTTTGGGAACATAAATTGGCATTTTGAATCCAGATTTGAACCAAAATATTTGTTTGAGAATTCAAAAAATTTTGATTTCGATCAAAAAATTTTAAAATCAAAATTAAATCAACTACAAATTTACATCTTTCTCATGTCATTTATAAATTCAAGCCTAATTTTTTTAAGAGTAAATTTTCAGAATGGTCTTTCGTCAAAAGGTTTTTTCAAGATAGTTTTTCGTAAATAATAATGATTAATTGTGGAATATTTTGGTATTTTGATTTCTCGAAACAGTTATTTCTATACGACTATATGTAAAATTAAAAAAATACATTATCTATAAATAATTCAAGAATTATTTAAAATTTATAAAAAAAATATTATATTTTAAATCAAATATACTCTTTAATTAGAAAAAATTATTTTGGGAAATCACTTCTTTATAAATGATCATTTTAAAAATTAATTTTAAATTTAGCGGTTAAAAATATCAAAATATTCTCAATTAATCTTCATATTTCATATGAGTAACATCATATATGAAAGACCATATTGGAAATAAATCTTAATTATAGAAGATCATGTAGTCAATTAAAATTTTTTAAAAACTTATTTGTGAAAACACCTTATTACAAATAAATATTTTGAGAATTACTCTTTTTTCAATTTAGAACTAAATTAAAGATGATCTCTCTTATATAAACACACACACTTTAAAGTTGAAATTCAATAACTCAAGTTCTATAACTTCTCAATTAACATTTAGAATTTGAAATTATGAATTTTCAAATTTTGGATTTGAACTCTAACGTTTTAAATGAATTATAGTTCCAAAACATTCTCTTATATTATTTTAATAATATCTCATATTTTCTCTTCTTTTTTTAAATGGATGATAGCACATATCATAAATTAATTTTATCTACACAATTTTTATTATAATAAACCAAGATATTATGTGTGTTAAAAATTAGCTAAAATTTATTCCACAAATTATCTTTTATATAAATATATATTATAAACATAATATATTTTAAAACTATATTTCAAAATGAAAATATTGACAAAAAAATTATATAAAAATTTATTGCATTTTTTCATAATATGTGGTTAATGTTTAAACAATTTGATTGGAAAAGTCATATCAAAAAATAAAGTTTAGGACGGAGGGAGTAGAAAATAAAAAATACTTGTGATTTACTCGTTTATATCTTAAATAAAATGAAGTTTTTGGGACAGAAAAAGAAACATAGTAAACTCTTTTTCTTATAATGGAAAAAAAGTGTAAAGTTTTTCGTAGAATCAAGAGAGTATTTTTAAATTAAGTAATTTAGTAGTAATTAATATTTTGCTAAATATTATACTCCCTCCGTTCCATTTTATAATGCCTGTTTTGGTTTACGATGTTTGACTGAAATTATTTTCAAACCATTTTATATGACAAATGGTATAGAATTAGAAAATAAAAATTACATATTAAAAAACTACATCAAAAGATCTACAAAAGTAGTAGTGACAACAATATTTTATTTTATCAAATTGCTAACAAAAATAGAAAAAGAAAGTGAATGAAGTTTGACCCTGTGAATAGTGAACAGACATTATAATTTGGGACGGAGGTAGTACATATTAATTTTGTGACAATAACTAAGTATGGTATAACTAGTTGATAAAAGTACTATTTTGTTTAAATATTTGTTGGAACAAATTAATATTTGTTGTACCAAAAAACCTTATAATGAAATATTCATTTAATACTCATTATATGTATAATATGATATATAGGTCTATTTTAAAGTACTTTTGAAAATAATACGCATACGTGAGTAGAACACGCGTATAATATGCGTATTAACTAACTAGGAGCTGCACAACATCACCCTTCAAAAAACTGTACAACATTAATCTAAGGGTGGACATGGTCTTTGACGATTTGTGATATTATGAGAAATTCAGAGCTTATTTTGAACCACTCTTATTTAAATGTGTTGATATTGGGACGCGATAACCACACATTCATTACGTACTACTCAATTTTGAAATAACACGATACAAAATCATATCATGCTCAAATCGTGTTAAAAATTTGAAATGTATAACTCAGATAATACTAAAACATAAGTAAAATTTTTTGTAAAAGCTAAAAGCACAACTTTGTTAAAAATAGCAATATTTTAAAGGGCAATGCTACGTTCACAAACAGAAGGATCACAAACTTCACAAACTTACTATTTATGGTTTAAATTCTCATTTTAAAATTATTTTAGACTATTTAATTTTCTTTATTGAAGTTCACAAATGGTATGTTTGTGAAGTTTGTGAAGCTTGAGTTTGTGAACCAAGCATTTCCCTTTTACTAAGTGATACCAAATATTTTCTTACCGGGTAACACCTTCAACGTTTAAGTGTTCAATAGTCATTTTAGGTACCAATGATGATATTCTCCCCACCACATGTTGATTTTTAGCAAATAGACATGTTTTAATAGTCTTAAATGATTTATTTTTTACTTACTTTTCCCCAAACACCCTATACATTTTTAGTGACAAGAAATCTTTCTCCCATATCATAGCTTTGATTACATATTTGAAGACTTGTAAAGGGGATATCTACAAGTAATTGCAAACAGCTTGTCAAGTATCCAGTAAGCTTGAGACAAGTGATATCTTTAGTATGTCACTCATGAACTAAAATAATCACAAATTGTAGTAAACCAATATAAAATTCTTGTATGTTTCTTTACATTTTTTACATTCTTATAGAACACCATTCACTCTTTCCTAGTGTTGGTCATTTGTTCCAACATATTTATGTATTTCCTCCGTCTTAATTTAAGTTATCTGTTTTAGTTTATGATATTTGGCTTAAATTATTTTCAAATTATTTTCAATGAAAAATGGTATAGAATTAAAAAAAAAATTATATTTTAAAATCTACATCAAAAGATACACAAAACTAGTGGTGACATGACTATATTATTTTATCAAATGACTAGCGAAAATAAAAAAAATAAAATTTGACTATGCAAATAGTAAACATGCAACTTAATTTGGGACGGAGGGAGTACAAAGTATACCGGAGTCTTTGTTGCAATCATGCTTCAAGCCGAAAAATATGACTTCAAAGAAACATATTAAAATACAAAGTATAAAATACAAAACATGTTCAATTAAGTAGTACTCCCTCCATCCCTCATAGATCTTCCCATTAGGCCTTTTTATTTGTCCACAGATCTTCTAATTACCTTTTTTAACAATTAAAATACCACAACTACCCCCACTTACTTTATTTATTACACCTCACCCACCTCATTTAATACACTCCATCCATTTTCATTAAGAGTATCATGGTAAACTTTCACCTTTTTCAACTCTCCTTAAAACCCACAAAAAGTCAAAACGAGAAGATCTTAGAGGGACGGAGGAAGTATATGTTAATACAATTTCATCTGATTAAAGTATATAAAGCTACTATCGCCACCTCATTGGGGTTTAAATCCGTGACCTTCCATTTGGGAGAGCCGCCATGATGATCCTTCACTGCACTTAGCACTAACTATACACTTGTGTGTATTTAGGACATTCATTTTTAAAGTAGAATATGCCCAAACTCATTCCCACTTCTCCCCTGAAACTCTCTCATATTTGAATCTCAAAGTTCACACATGGAACGTAATTGTTATTCTCCCAAAATGCTGACAACAATTGGTTATTCAATCACTTTCTGTCCGTATGGACAAATTACAGAGAAAAAAAAAATGAAATATTCATAAAACAAATCTACTAAACTCATTGCTTCAGTCTACATTCATCAAAATGGAATGGAATAACCAACCTAATATTGACACAGAATCATCATCATCATCATCATCATTATTAACTATTATTATAAGATAGACAACAAAGGTCAGGTAGAATCTCCAAAAAAATGGCAGTTATTGGACTGAGATGAAGAAGAAGAAGAAGAAGATGATGATGATGATGATAAAGAAGAAGAAGATGATGATGATGAAGATGAAGAAGATGGAGATGGAGATGAAGAAGACATCAGTCACATGAAATATACATATAAGTGACTG